TAAGCAATCGATCAATCAATCGATTTATCGGTCAATCAATCAGCCAATAACTCACTCACTCGATTATCCAATTAATCGCAGATGAACTAATGCAATCCTCACCCTCGCGCCCTTCATGCCCGCCGGTCCGGGGCTGCCTGCTCCTCCATTCTGTCCTCGCGGTCCGGGGAAACCTGGTGGCCCGCTGGCTCCAGGATCCCCCGTAGACCCCTTCTCTCCCGGCACGCCGTCCTGGCCAGGTGAACCCTAAAGAAAACGAGAGACTACCCTAAGAAAACTGCAAGCTTTAGAGGTAGAGCTTGACGCTTTAGAGAAACTACTAAAATTTCGCATGCCATTTTGGAGCGGAAAGTTTAGAAAGTACACAGTCCGTGCAAAATGCCACGCGAGAGCTCGCTCACTACACGAGGAGTGCGACCTCTTGGAGTTTGTCTCGTGGCAAAAAATGGCAGCCATATTTTAATATTTAAGATAAACGTCAATAGATTATATATATACATATATATATATACATTTATATATATACATATATATATATACATATATTTTTTATAGTGGTGTGCAGGTTACCCTGTTGTCGACAATTCTAGTGACTGCGAGGAACTATCACCAGTAGCTTACATGTTGATCGGCTGAAAGTAATATGAGACAGGAAAAAAAGAAGGAGAGGGAGAGAGGAGGCGTTAACCTAATATAAGACGACGAGGAAAGGAAGAGGAAAAGAGGGGAGAGGAGAGGAAGCCTACCGGTGCTCCTGAGGTCTCCCGTCTTCCTGGAGTTCCGTGGTCTCCTCGCGGCCTCAGTCCCATCGCTCCCCGTCTACCGGTCCTCCCGCGTCTCCCTGTCAACACACACACACACACACAAGATTACGGATGTCGGAATCCTTCCACAGTCAATCCGGTACTAAACCAATCAATACAATCCGGTTTCATAGTCCAATATTCAATACAGTAGAGAGCCACGACAAATGCTCATCCCCTACATGCTTACAGATGCGCTATCCTTCTACTAAACACTCACGCGCCTGCCAGCCCAAAGTATGTGCTGACTGTTGCGATGTATTGTCTATTTATTTATAACAGTGTCAATGTTGTACTGCTTTGCTAGTTAGATGCAGATAGAAATCCCAACTGCAACCTTCGCTATCTTATATTGACTGCAGTATGGAACCTCGCGCGTTGTTTAGCGTCTGTGTTCGTCTACTCCACAATTCCTACTACCATCATGTTGATTATCATATCAAAGCGTATTAAGAATAAATTAGTCTTAATTCGCTCTTGGTCATATGTTATAATATTTACAGCTTCGCACGATAGATGTTAGTAAAAATCCAGGCCGATGATCCTTCTGTCAGTCTTATCATATTACATCGCCGGATATTCGATGACGACCGCCGTCGTCGATTTTCTCTACACGTGAGTGCCCACGCTTACTTATGGTCATTTAGGCCATGCATTTACACCGGAGTCGAGATGTTCTGTTGGCGAGAGGTTATTGAACTACCTTCAACTAGTCCCTAGTATATAGTAATCATGGTCAGTAACCAATGAGATTCCAGAAAATCATGGACGGATTTTGGAAGATATTATTGTCTACGTAAGGTCTGTCAGACACACTCATGAAATTGCTAATATTACGTGAGGTCCAATCTTCCGAGACACGCACGTAATTTGTATAGTTGCCATATAAAGAACGTACGCGCGAAAGTTGAAAAAAAAAGAAACTATGAACGTTGGATATTTTTACTTTTAACGTCGCTCTTCTCGATCAAATGACCGTATTTCACTTACTTTGTCGTAAATTCATCTGCCATCTTTTTGTTAGAAATACGAATAGATACGAGATGAATATAGATTTGCTAATTTTTTTCTTGCAGTTTACATGTCCGGTAATATAAAAAAAAAACGTTAAGTTTAAAGCTGTGGTTGGAGTTAGCTAGTGTTTCTGACTAAAACCCGTGCAACGACAGTTTTTACTGCCGCATCGCTTCCCTGCGTCACAGCACTCGTGTGGACCTTTAGCAGTGTCGTCGAAATGGAAGGTTATCCCGTTTGCTGTGTTTTGTTGATAGCACACTGCCAGCTGACACGTTTGCATTTTTACTGCCGATGCCGCTACGTCAATAGGAATAACAAATGGAGAATTGTTGCATGGGCACACTCTCTCCTTTTCTCGCTTTCGCTCGCTCTCGCTCTCTCTCTCTCTTTTTTTCTCTCTCTTCCTCTCTCTATTCCTTCTGCTCTCTCTCTCTCCTCTCTCTCGTTTGTCTCTCTCTCGTTGTCTTCTCTCTCTCTCTCTCTCTCTCTCTCTCTCTCTCTCTCTCTCCTCTCTCGTGTCTTCTCTTGTCTCTCTCTCCTCTCTCTCTCTCTATCTCTCTCTCATCTCTCTCTCTCTCGTTGTCTCTCTTGTCTCTCTCTCTCTCTCTACTCTCTCTTCTCTCCTATCTCTCATTCTCGTCTCTCTCTGGCGCTCTCTTTCCTTCTTGCTCCCTCCATACCTTCTGTCCAGCGAGTCCAGGGAAGCCAGGCGGTCCTGCTTGACCGAGTGCGCCCTGCAGGAAATCAAGCACACAACAGGTTTAACGTAACTCTCTGTCTTTCTTTATATATATATATATATATATATATATATATATTATCGGCGCGGTTCTAGGGCGTAAATGTATAGATAATAGCGGGAGTGAAAGAACGCAGCACTTCCACTATTCACTTCTGTAACTCCCACAACTATTCACTCTAGGTATAATATTAATAAATGCGTTTATATATTAAAATTTATGAAATAGTGTTCGGGAAAATAGGGAGAATATGTTAGTATTAATATGAACGCGTCCGCGATAAGGGGCGCCACCATGCGCGAGACGGGGTTGAAGAACGTTACTGCTAGTAATATTTGTGGATATATCCGCGAGGGATGTATAGTCGCCACCATAATGTTCACATGAACTCGTCGACTAAGGGGCGCCGCCATGAAACTCGGGAATGACCAATCTCATTGCGCTTAGGCTTATATAATTGTGCTAATGTTCACTTACAGCTTTCTGCTGGACATGTTGCAATGACCAGTTACTAAATACTCACCGGCAAGCCAGTGGGGCCTGGGAGACCATCTTGTCCTCTGAGTCCCTGTAACAAACAAAGAAAAATAAATACTGAAGCCCCTTGTCTTGAAGACACTTGTCCACGAATCGAATCGAAACACGCTGGCTAATTGTCAGCGTGTTCTTCGATTATCGTTGTCTAATATTTTACGAAAGTCTTTATACTTTTACATCTCTATTTTCTAAAACTTTCATTTATATCGAATCAAATATCTTCTTTACGTACTGGAGCTCCGGGAGCTCCGTCCCTTCCTCTGTCTCCTGGTCCGCCTCTAGGTCCCTATGAACAACAGCGGGCATTAGGTGAATACAACATATACGCACTGATACGCACTCATACGCCCATGCGATGGCGAGAGAGAGATTGCTACTGTAACTTTCTGTAACTTACTGTAACTTACAGTAACTTACTTACTGTAACTTACTTACTGTAACTTACTTACTGTAACTTACTGTAACTTATCGTAACCTACACGGTGTGGCGCCTGCGTCCCTCGGTGGGCATATGCTGTTACCATCACAACGATGATTAAATTTAAAATTTAATTTACTCTCGCACGGCTATTTGCGGCGCGTGTGTTTCATCAACACGATAGAAGTAATAAAACTCACGTACCATAGGTCCCTGAGGACCCATCGATCCAGTATTACCAGACAGACCCTAAACGGAAATTCAAATGAATATCATCCAGTGAAAGATGGTGCACTAGTCACTACGGCTGCTAGTGCTAGTGTTTGCCGACTAACGTGATGCTTGCTGCATCATATTTATGTGCCATCATGTTATTACTATTGCATAGCTTCGCGTGTTAGATACTTGAAAGACACATTTACTCTGTAAATGTCAATGAGAGGTTTCAATGGAAGGGGATAGATGTGAGTAAACCAATGTAATGTAATCTATGTATACTTTGCATCGGCGAATAAAATCACATAATTACATAATATATTTTATTAACCATTAGCACTCGCAAAGTAATACGCTTTAAAATAGAAAAAATAGAGAAGTAAAACTGTGTCGCAGTTTGTCTGTCCACGTAACATAATTATACGTGTCATAGTTAATTCGTAGTAGCCTTATATCTGGGTGGGGGGAGGGACTCGATCGCATTTCTTCGCGGTATACTCGCCCTTTCTCCGGACTCTCCCTGTTCGCCCTTGGCTCCGTCACGCCCGGAGAAACCACGGTGTCCCTTAGCGCCAGGGATTCCTGGCATGCCCGAGAGACCTCGTGAGCCCTACATGAGAGGAAAGAATGGGAGAGGAAGAGGAAGACGAGATTAATAATGCGTGAACAGGGCTGGCGTTATAACTGACGAGACCTCTAAATAAGGTTTTACGGTCTGTAGCTTTTCGCGTCGTAAATATTTCAATGGCCGTGCGATTTGTAAAGTTCGTTTTGAGCAATTTCGGTTCGAATAAGAAACAAATTATTCTCGGTTAGACGATCTAGAATAGAATATGATATAATATGCACACATTTATTATACAGCAGTCTACGAAGGTTATGTTTTTGTATTGTGAGTTAGGCTTCTAAAGTACGAAACCCCCTTTAGCGGTCGCTTTGTTCTCTTTACTCTAATGCAGCTACTGCGCATAGCTGCATGTGTACGTGTGCGAATGTGCGAGCGCGTGTGTGCGTGCTTGTATGTGAGCATAAAGGGCGTACACGCGTGTGCGTGCGTGTATGTGAGCATGAAGGGCGAGCGCGTGTGGGCGTGCGTGTATGTGAGAATGAGTGCGTGCACGCGTGTGCGTGCGTGTATGTGAGAATGAAGAGAAGTCGGGGGTATAGCTTACCATAGCTCCGCTTGGTCCTCTTGGTCCGGAGTCTCCGTCGTTTCCTCCTGGTCCCTACATCAACCAACCAACCAACCAAGGCACGACGGATTACTAC